TAGATTAATTCTTTTATGACAGTGCCATACCCCAAATCGGTGACTTGCTCGCGTGTATGTGTGTGTGTGTGTGTGTGTGCGCGCGCGTGTGATACTCTCACTCGAGGGGCTCAGTCTTATTAACAACCCTGAGGTTTCCATCCAACAGGCCAGGGCGGAGGTGAGGAAATGTGTGTAGGGCTCACTGGGCTTAGCTTTCAAACCTGCAGTCTTCATCTATCTCTTTTTACTGTAAGGATGTACGTTTAACGAGAAAACCCTAAATGAGATTTCAAAGAAACAAGACAAATGGTGTGGACATGTGGAAATTTAGCGTGCCTCCACAAGGCGGAAAAGCCTAAGGCCGCGTGCAACCAGCCCGCAAAACCCGCCCCTTCCGCTTTACGTCTGACGTCACACGGCGAGGCCCGGCGCGAGCGTGCGGGGTTCCGCTGCCCGGACTTTAGCCGCTGTGGGTGTGACTTCGCGCGTAGGCGTTCGGCTTTGAAATGCAGCGGGATTTAGTGAGTTTCCCCTTTTCTCCAGCGGTGCGGGTGAAGCTGGTGTCTGCAGGTTTCCAGACTGCTGAGGAACTCCTAGAGGTGAAACCCTCTGAGCTCAGCAAAGGTAACAACTCCGGACGGCAAGCTGAGGCAAACTGGCCGCCGTCTTTACCGCCTTCATCTCCTTTCTTCCCCCTGCAGTCCAGTTCCCGCAGATTTTGCTTCCGCCCACGGCTGCGTTTACAGCATGAAAAAGCTCATTGACTCCACTTAAACATGATTTGAGTGGTTAGAACTGTGGCCTTGAAAACGTTTACTAATTGCTTTCTCTGCCAGTGCCTACTGAATACTCTGAGCGTTATCTCATTTACACTCAAAAGAACTCACTTGCGTGGATTATGTCCAATACTTAGATGAAGGAATTGATGCTTCAAGAGGTTAAGTAATATCATGAGGACGAGGCTAGGAAGTCGTGGAGCCACAATTAGAACCCAGACTATTTAATTTTCGCTTTTTTCCCAAATCCAAGAGACAGAGATTACATTTGAGAAATGATTTGTGATAGTACTACAGACACTGACAATGAGATAGGGAGTGGTCTCCAGAATCTGAAGAAAACAGTAGAAAGAAAAAATCACTTTTTTATGTAATTCACTGAAAAAAAAAATCCCAAACCTCCCATTCCAGAACACTGTAGATATAATACGTTCGTGAGAACTTCTGCATCTTGAGGTATATAGGAAATTGCCATCTGGGATCAGTTTCACTGTGCACATTACACTACGGGTATGGCTAAAACTGTGCTTTTAAGATAGAATTTTAAGTCTTTGCCCTTAATGTAAAACGAGGAGGTTTCAATTCACCACTCAAGAATTAATGCTGTAGACCCAATGTTAATTATTCGTTTTCAATCTTACAAGGCACACTATGTCCCCCAAAGTTTGATGAGCTCTTTTTCTTTCAACATGTTGGTGTTATAAAAAAGAAATGAGAGAATCTGAATGATAATAATAGCTAACAATTATTGAGCATTTTGGATGGCCTTGGTATTCTACCAGACTTTTTACCTGACTCCAGAGTTCAGGCTCTTAAATTGGATAGGATTTTTATTGTTGTATCACCATTATTGTCTGTTAGCACCAAATTTATAGTTTATATCCTTATCAAATCAAACACTGATATATCAAACTCATAATTGATATCATCCCCACCATTATTTCTTTCATTAGCAGCTTGTTTTGTAATTAGCATTTTCTCAGTCCATATTTTCAAATAGGAATGAAATTGTGTGGTTGAGGAAAGCATAAGTGTGTTAAAAATATTTGTGCATCAAATAATTGTTCTCATTAAATAGTTTGGAGTTATACATGAATTTTTCATGCCTGTGTTGCTATGAAAAGTTTTTATTATGAATAATACATGCATATGCACTTCTTAAAGTTGCATCTTGTTTTAGGTAATTACAGAGGCCATTCTCTTCTGAAAAATAATTTACATACCTTATAAGAAAGGTGCATACCTTTATAAGACCAAAAGGGATAGTAAAAGGACTGACTGCTAGTACATTTTTATTTCTATGTCCTGAGACACTTTTATAGATCCTCAGAAATGCATTATAGGTTTAGATTTTTGAATTCTGTTTCTGAGGTAATCTTTTAAGTATGTGAAGAAAACATGTAAATGCCTTTATTAAATTGGAAGATTGACTAGTTAAGGTAATGTTACATTTTTGTATTTCTCTGCTCTTGGCATCACTCTATATAAAAATTAAAATGAAGACAACCTAATAGCATGTTAGACTGTTTTAAATCTCTAAACTCAAATAATTTTTTTTTTTCTTATCCTTTCAGAAGTTGGTATATCTAAAGAGGAAGCCTTAGAAACTCTGCAAATTATAAGAAGAGAATGTCTCACAAATAAACCAAGACATGCTGGTACAGCTGAGTCAGGCAAGAAGTGTACAGCACTGGAACTTCTTGAGCAGGAGCATAACCAGAGCTTCATAATTACCTTCTGTTCAGCACTAGATAATATTCTTGGGGGTGGAATACCCTTAACCAAAACAACAGAAATTTGTGGAGCACCAGGTGTTGGAAAAACACAATTATGGTAAAAGAAAATGTTCCTTTCCTAAAAATGGGCTTAATAACATTTTATGTAACTAATAGAGTATTGTGCTATGGGTCTACAGTCAAGAGACCAAAAAAGGCTTGTGTGTATTCATAATTTTTTATATGTGCGTGCACACATCAAACAAAAACCAATTTACTGTTTGTGTTACTTCATCACCCCATCTTGAGAAGTTGATACAATTATTTTGATATCAAGAAATATTTCTCAACATTGTAATGTTATTAGGGTAAATAAGAAGACTTCTCTTTATTGTATAATTAATTCCTGAGAATACACTTGAAAGTCAAACGTTTGAAAGTAGACTTATGTATAATAAGAAAGGGTTCCATTCCCAGAGGTCTAAAAAAAAAATCACTAAAATTCCTTAATCATGATTTTTATAGGCATACCCTTCCCCTAGCATCAATCGATTCACATATATTTGGAGCCATGAAGAGTTAGCCATCTCTGTTGTCTGGGGGAGTGTATTTGCATTTATGCAACAGTTAGTGGTACCTAATAGGCAGTGATCTGAACTTTGAAAAACACTGCCTTAGAAGATCATGATAATGATTTGATCATTTGACTTCTTTCTCTTTGTAGTATGCAGTTGGCAATAGATGTGCAGATACCAGAATGTTTTGGAGGAGTGGAAGGTGAAGCAGTGTTTATTGATACAGAGGGAAGTTTTATGGTTGATAGAGTGGTAGACCTTGCTACTGCCTGCATTCAGCACCTTCATCTTATAGCAGGAACACATATGGGAGAGGGTAAGTCAGCAAGCACTTCTCTTTTTTTTCCTGTGTAATAAAAGTAATTTGAATTTGTACTCATCTCAAGCCTCAGCTAGAGACTGTTTGGAACATGAAGCTTAATGACTTGACAGTATTAGTGTTAAATTCTCACATCTCTCCTCCAAAATGAGAAATGCCACAACTTGGATTGGCCTTTCCGTCTTCTTGTATGACCCTCACGTCTTACTGCAGGAGCTCTGGGGCAAAACTTGTGAGTGTATTTCATTGTATAACTTCAAATCATACTCTGACCTGCCAGGTGTAAACTTATTTTCTTAGATACTTTAAGTAAGTGTTGTCTCAGTGCATTCACTGTATTCAGCGCATTCAGTGTATATTGAATTCCATACTGGTTTTTCCAAAAACCAAAGTTAGTTAGAAAAACCATATCTGGAAATTTCTGGAACATTAACCTGATTGACCTTATGGGGCTATTAGTAATATGTAATTGACTTTGTGACTGTTAATTGTATTGCCAAAGTGTTTGGGAAGTTTTTTTGCACTTTGTGGAAATAAAGCTATTTAAAAAAAAACTGTGAAGTTAATTTATATTCAAGTTCTTGTTTTTTTAGTTGTAAAATTAAGTAGTTTTGGTTTAGCTGGGTATTTTTTTCCTTCGTTTTTTATTTATTTGGATTGCAGTCCTTGTTCTTTAGAAGTTTTAAAAAATAATACTTTTCATACATCCTTATATTAAAATGTATGTAATCAGTTGAGTACTTTTTAAATTTACAATAGGCAGTGTTTTCTGAAATTTAATTTCGTGGGTTTTTTCACAGTGTTAAAACTTTAGTATATTTAGTAAAAATGCAATAATTTTCAACTGGTTTCCCTCAGAAATATGTATAAAGCCAAACTGGTTATTTTTTAAAATCACTCGAAGTAGGGAATTTCATTTTATATTATTGTTTCTACTAAAATACCAAATTAAATGCTTTTTTTGAACAATTTTCTTTTAACTCTTAATTTCTAGTTCTATGAAAAAAAACAAGAAAGAGAAATTCCATTATGTTACTTCCGTTCAATAGAAGCCAATAACTAGAAATATGAAAAGGCAGGCATTGAAACTAGTTGTGTACAAACAATTTCTTGATAGCCTAGTATATAAGAAAACAGAAAAGGTGAAAATAAAGAGGACAGGCATTATGAAGTGATAGTAATTTTGCTATAGTTTTATCATCTTTAAAGTTAAGAGTTTTGTTATTCACAGTGAAGCATTTTGTTATTCAAAGGTATTGTTATAATCACCAATATATCAAACAAGTAAAACTATTTTAAGATTGGTTTATTTATTTCAGAGCACCCAAAAGCTTTGGAGGATTTCACTCTTGAAAATATTCTTTCCCATATTTATTATTTTCGTTGTCGTGACTACACAGAGCTACTGGCACAAGTTTATCTTCTTCCAGACTTCCTTTCAGAACACTCAAAGGTATGGTTCAAACTACTGAAATATAACTGAAATATAACCAAGTATCTTTAGAGGTATTTGATTAGCATGAAAAATAAGTAAATAGTACAGTGATATAAGCCAGCTCAGAAAACCTCTTTCTTCTTCATTCTACAATTTATTTATATTTGTATTTATTTAGTATATATGTAAATATTATGCCCAAAGGAAGAAATCGAAATATAGAAAGAGGTTCCGCCTCTAGTAATGGTGGAATAGCTTCTATCAAACAAACCATAGAGAGAGATATAAAATGAAAAATAAAACTTCCCCTGCTTCCTAGTACCTCTCCCCAAAGTTGACCACTATTAAAATTTATTGTCTGTCTGCTCAAAAAAAAAAATTGTGCATATTATAATAGTTCCCCATTTTTAACATTTGTTAATGGGATTATACTGTAATATCGTTCTGCACCTTCTATTTTCGCACAATGCTTCACATGTCTTTCTGTATCAGCACATATTGGATAAACTTTATTCTTTCAGCTGCATATTTCATTTTAAGAAGATACTTTTCGCTGTTGGTGGGAATGCAAAATGGTACGGTTGCTATAGAAAACAGTATGATGATTCCTCAAAAACTTGAAAATAGAGCTACCATATGATTCAGCAATTCAACTTCTGGATATATAACCAAAGGAATTGAAAGCAGGGCCTTGAAGAGATATTTGTACACCTGTGTTCATAGCAGTTTTATTCATAGTAGCTAAAACATGGAAACAACACAGTGTTTATTGATGGATGAATAGATAAACTATGTGGTATATATATACACTGGAATATTATTCAGCCTTAAAAAGGAAAGAAAATCTGACATGCTATAATATGGATGAATCTTGAAGACATTATGCTAAGTGAAATAGGACAGTTACGAAAAAAACATACTGCATGATTTTACTTTTATGAGATACCAAGAATAGTTATACTCAGAGACGAAAGTAGAATGGTGGTTTTTAGGGTCTGGGAGGAAGAGGAGAATGGGGAGTTATTATTTAATTGATACAGAGTTTTAGTTTTACTAGATGAAGAGTGTTCTGGAGATAGCACAATATTATAAATGTTTTTAATACCATTAAACTGTACACTTAAAAATGATTAAGATGGTAAATTTTGTATATTACTTCAATGAAAATGGGGGCAAAAGTATTTCCCTTAATTATATTTCACTAGTCCTCTATAGGTGGGTTTTTAGATGCTATTATTAACGGTTTGGAGATAACTCTTACACATATCTCTTGGGATACATTTGTGAGTGTGTTTATGAGATAAACGCTGAGTGTTAGAATTATAATATTAATGATTATATGTATCTTTAATTTTGATAAACATTACACATGACAAAAACTCTCCTTGACCAAACTTTAGTCAGCCTTCTCTGAGCTCTCTTTTGAAATAGGCCTTGACCTTGACTCCATTCTGTCTTTGGCTTTATCAGCCCAGTTCATTATTTGAATAATGAACATGGGTGTATAATAGTAAAGAATCCCGCTAAGTTAGTTTAGAGAGAATCACCATCCCCTTATTATCTGATCACCCTTGATATTCCAGGTTTCTCATTTACTACCTTTGATGTATATGTCTTTGGCCTGCCTTTAGCAAGAATCCTGTTAGGTCAGTTTAGCAAGAATCCTCCCTACCCTTGATGTCGTCTATTAATAATTTTCCATTCACTGACACCCTGCTCCTTGGCTATAAATTTCCACTCGTCCTTCTTATATTTGAGGATGAGCCCAATCTCTTTTCTCTATTGTAATACTGCTATTGGAATATTCTTGAATAAAGTCTCCCTTACTGTTTTAACAAGTGTCAATATAATTCTTCTTTAACACAAATTGCACTTCAAAAATGTTGCACTAGTGGATCAAAAAACAAGACCCAACTATACATTGTCTATAAGAAACCCACTTTAAATATAAACATACATGTAGATTAAAAGTAAATGTATTAGAGCAGAGGTCCCCAACCCCTCGGCCACAGACCAGTCTGTGGCCTGTTAGGAACTGGGCTGCACAGCCAGAGGTCAGTGGTGGGCGGGTGAGCGAGAGATGCTTCGTTGTATTTGCAGCCACTCCCCAGCACTAGCATCACTGCCTCAACTCCATTTCAGATCATCAGGCATTATGATGCCAAAAAGTTTGGGGACCGCTGTATTAGAGAACACTAACAATTAAGCTAACACTAATGATTAGGCTAAAGCTGATCAAAAGAAGGTAGAAGTAGCTATATTTATTTCAGAAAGTAGACTTTACACCAAGGAAACATTACATAATGATGTAGAGGTTAGTCTGCCCAAGAGGTATAACAATTTTAACATGTATGTATTCCCGATAAAGCATTAAACTACATGAGGCAAAAACTAATAGAACTGCGAGAAGTAGATGATCACTATTATATTTGGAGACCCATTTATCTTTTTAAAAAGTCATTTATTTTCCTGTAAGTACTCTTTATTCACTCTGGATTTCCTTTTTTACTTTCTCAATAGTGTCCTTTGATGCACAAAAGTTTAAATTTTGATGAAGTCCAGTTTATCTGTTCACTGTTGTTGCTTGTGTTTTTGGTGTCATGTAAGAATTCATTGCCAAATCCAAGATCAAGATCCAAGATCATGAATATTTTATGACTAAGAGTTTGTAGAGGAACAAGTTTTCCTCGGCCCTCTTAGGGTCTCTGGCTGGGTCTGGTAATTAAACTGACAAAAGCGTAACAGGAGAAAAGCACACATATTTTATTGAATTTTTACATGTATGTCAGAGCCTTTACAAGAAAAAAAAGCCCAAAGAAATGACCAGAGCAGGAAACTTTTATACCTTTAGACAAAAACAATACATTTTTGAAGAATTGATAAGAAAGGGATTTGGGGTTAGAGGTGATAAATCGTGAAGAAGTAACTTGGAAAATAGTTTCACAAGATTTATTTATATAGCCTTCTCAGCCCTGAATTTACTGTCTCTGATGAAAAGGATGTCTCCCTCATGGTACAAGGAAGGTATCACAATCTTTCACACAGGAGATTTATCTTCTGCTTTTCAGGGAAGAAGATTGAGGGATAAGGTCAAACTGACCTTCCTGTTTCTGCCATTTTCTCAAACTCCTTTAACAAGATATCAAGTATGCCAAAGAGCCGTATTTTGTAGTAGCATGTCCCAAACGCCATCAAGTTTAATGGTTTTAGCTCTTTTGTTTGGAACTTTGATTCATTTTGAGTTAATTTTTATACATAGTTTCATTGTTTGGACATATTCATTTGTCATAACACCATTTCTTGAAAAGACTTTATTGAATGAGCTTGGCATCCTTGTTGAAAATCAGTTGACTATAGATATGTGGGTTAATTTCTAGACTCTATTATATTGAAGTATATGTCTATTCTTATGCCAGTATATTACTGTTTTGATTACTGTATGTTTTGAAATTGGGGTATGTGCATCCTCCAACTTTATTCTTTTGAACATTATTTTTGGCTATTCAGAGCCCCTTGCAATTCCACGTGAACTTGATCTAAATGGAGGCTTCTCCATTTCTGCAGAAATGCAGTTGGACTTTTGATAGAAATTATGTTGAATCTGTAGATTGAGTCTATTACTATCTTAATATTGTTAAGATAGTAATATCTTAATATTACATGAACATAGGATATCTTTCTATTTATTTAGGCCTTTAACTTCTTTCAGCAATGTTTTATAGCTTTTAGTGTACAATTATCCTTAAGTATTTTATTCTTTTTGATGCTATTGTAAATGGAATTTTTTTTAAATTTCATTTTGGATTGTTTGTTGCCAGCATATATAAATACAACTGATTTTAATTAATTAATTTATGGTGATGTTGGTTAACGAAATCCAATAAGTTTCAGCTGAAATACAACTGATTTCTTTTAAGTTGACTTTGTATACCTTAACTTTGCTAAATTGTTTATTAGTTTTAGTAGTTTTTTGTGGATTCATTAGGATTTTTTGTATACAGGATTATGTCATCTACAATAGAGATTTTTCATCTTCCCAATTTGGATGTCTCTTATTTATTTTTCTTGCCTAATCGATCTGGCTAGAACTTCTAGCACAGATTTGAATAATAATGATGAAAGTAGGCATTCTTGTCTTGCTTCTGATCTTAGGGGGAAAGCTTTCAGTCTATCACCATTTAGTATAGTTGATCCTCATTACTTGCATATTCTGTAATTGTAAAGTCACCTACTCATTAAAATTTATTTGTAATCCCAAAATCAATACTCATAGTTTTTTTTCACAGTCATTTATGGACATAGGCAGCTTAGGCTATCATGATAAAAATACCATAGGCTGACTGGCTTTAACAAAAATTTATATTCTCAACATTCTGGAGGCTAGAAGTCCAAGATTAAGGTTCCAGCTAATTCTGTTTCTGGGAAGGGCTCTCTTCTTGGTTTATAGAAGGCTGCTTTCTTACAGTGTCCTCAAATGGCAGAGAAAGAGAGCAAGTTCCCTGGTGTTTCTTCTTTTAAGGACACTAATCCTGTTAGATCAAGGCCCGACCCATATGACCTCATTTAACCTTAATTACTTCCTTAGAGTTCATATCTTCAAATACGGTTGCATTGAGGGTTAGGGCTTCAACACGAATTTTATGGGGACACAATTCAGTGCATAGTGGACAGGTGTAGAGTGGCAAAGAAATTGTGTCACTCCGCACACATGTTCCCAGCTGAGGTTGAACAAAGTGGATTCTCTGTCTTCATGTTTCAGCTCATACTGTAAACAAGTGTCTTCATAGTTTATTTAATGCCATGCTTTTTCCATTTTTGTGCTTTTTGTTGTTGTTGTTGTTGTTTGAGGTGTTGTCTGTTGTTCCTAAGCATGTTAAGAAGTTGCTCCCTCTTCCTCCGTTCCCCTAAAGTCCCTGGCAACCAATCTGTGTTCTGTCTCTATGGATATTGTATATAAATGGAATCATATGATACATGACCTTTTTGTCTGGCTTTTTCATTTAGCATTATGTGTTCAAAGTTCATCTGCTTGGTAGTATGTGTCAGGACTTCATTTCTTTTTATGGCAAACAATATTCTGTCATATATATATACCACAATTTGTTTATCCTTTCATCTATTGGTGGATATTTGGGCTGTTTCCATCTTTTGACTGTTGTGAATTATGCTGCTATAACATTTGTGTACATATATTTGTTTTAGTACCAATTTTCAGTTCCTTTGGGTATATATACTTTGGAGTGAAAATGCTGAGTCATATGTTAATTCTCTGTTTAACTTTATTAGGAACCACCAAACTATTTTTCACAGTCACTGAACCATTTTACATTCTCACTACCAGTGTCTTTTCGTTGATTTGAATTTTGCTAAACTTATGTATCCACATCCAACCTATGACATTATTTGGCAAAACCAAGCTCCCAATAGACGTTTTATTGCTGTCCAATTCAGTAAGAAGTTACATCACTGATGAACAAGTACTATTTTAACATGAATGCTGGTTGATATTTTTGCTTATGTTAACATGCATGATGAAAGTGAGACAACAAAAGCATTTTTTTTTTTTTTGCTGAATTGATTAGCTTATTTTTTGAGGAGTTAATGATTTTTTTTTTTTTTTTTACCATTTATTTCTGGTTACAATTTTTTTTTGTCTTTTTCTCAATATGAACCATGAGTTCAACTATTACAGTATTTTCTTGTATTTCATTTACATTAGGATTTCTTCCAAAGACATAAAAGAGACCAAAAATCTGGATAGTTGGTTGTGACAGGAAGTATGTTCTAAAATGCTTCTCATAGTCTTTATGGGGTTTTTATTGATTCTTATTTTGCGAAAATGGATAATATGATTATTTTGCTGACATTATCATATTTTAGTACATCCACCAGTTTTTTACTTTTCTGCATTGTTTGAACAATTTATCTATGCTCTTTAATATGATATTTCATATCTCTTACAAGACAGGGTCAGTGAACGATAAGACTACAAGAAATATCAAATATTATCATCCCATGGTCCATTTACCCCAAATTTCTTTTTTGAAAGTTGCACAAAGGAAGGAATTGCTGGGGGGAAGGGAATTAGTATACTACACAGAATGTTTCTAGAACATAAAGGACTCTCCTGGATTCCTAATTTTTAATTTAAAAAAATCCACAGTTGGTAACTTTTTAATTTTGGCTTTTATGAGTTAAATGACAATGCCCGTTTTATCCTACCCACTCAAACTCTGTAATTCTATTTCTGTTATTCAGTATATTCTTCCTTTTGAGAGACCAAAGACCAAGGAAACTCACCAGAGCATGTCCAGGAACTTTTTCCCAAAACTTGGGGAAAAGCTGTCAATGTTGACAGTTACCACTTAGCAGAAGATCCAGATCTTTGTAATTTAGCCACTTAAGATTTGGACTGTGGAGAGGAAAAATAGGCTAATTTCCATTCTTTGTCCATTGGAGGTTAGGCCATATAACCCCTCTGGCATGAGCCAAGAGGTCCTTGGATGCCTTGGGTATTTGGGGCTCCCTGCAAATACCCTAGAGTCAAGACCTGTAATTATATGGAGTTCTCTGGTGGGATACTTTTCTGTTGTTTGACTTAATGATAATACTTAGTTATTTGATTAGTTTTTCTAATAGTAGAAGAATATTCTTTTTTTTTTTGTGGGGTTGTTAAATATTTCCTTATTTTTTATGTTGTTTATAATGTAAAGGGTACAGACACAACACATTTTTAAGGTCAATAGGATTATAACATTTTCCCCATCACTTTATTAAAAGTCCGGACAATCAGATCAAGCCCTGATCTGTAGCTTGTTTGCTGATTTCCATGTAGAAAACCCTCCCATCATCGCTGATTTCAAGCTACCAATGTGATGTATTGAACATGGAATAGAGAAGAAACAATATACATAAGCATATCATTTTGTAGCGTTTCTACTATAAAGATAAAATAAATGTAAATAATCTTAAGTGTAGATAATAGAAAAATGTAGAATAATTAGGAAGGAATGACTTTTCAGTCTTTATTGTCCATATTTTATTTATCCATATTTTAATATAACTTATTTACTCAAATTTATATAGTTTAATATTTAATAGCTATATTTAATGACTGATTTGAAAATTTTCTGAAAATTTAGCACTTGGGTCAACAGCTGGTAGGGTTTGGCTTCAATTCACCACTGTACCTTTCTGATATAATTTCCTACCACTTCCCCTTACTACTTTTTTTCTGACTGTTAAACATGCCAGACTTTTCTCTTAGAACCTTTGCCTTTACTATTCCTTATCTTTGGGCTGTCTTTGTTTGTTTGTTTGTTTCCTGTAGCAGGGTCTAGTCTGAATTTATTTTTCTCATCAAGAGGTGATGGTCAGATTTTATAGCTCAGCGCTGCATTCGTCCAACGAAGCAGAACAGGACTCTGTTCTGTTGCCTGCCTTCTATTGATGCCTTCCCTTACATCTAGTCTCAGTCTCCCTCTTCTCTAGCTCCTAATTATTCTTTGGTTTTAGTGTCTTCATAGTAGCTCTTACAGTATCAGAAATTATCTTATATATTTGTTTGCATGTTAATTGTTCCTTACTCCACTAGAACATAAGCTCCAAGAGAGCAGGACCTTGTCTCTTGTTCCCCAGTGCCTGTGACAGTGACTGTCATATAGTAGGTGTCAATAAATATTTGTTGGATGAAAGAATGAATACTCTAAATAAAAGATAAAAATGGCTTGTATATTGCTTCACAAAAGCCTCTTTAACCTAATCCTTATTGTATAGAAAAAAATATACTTTTGTAGTTTTTTGTCTGTTTACATTTGGATTAATTTCCAGATTCCGTTTGTTCTTGGATCTAAGGTTTATATATTACTCTAACTTCACTGTAGTAGCATTGTTTGGATTATATTAGAAATGAACTGCCATAAAAATATTTATCATCTGTAAGTGTACCATCTTGATTGTAATTCAAGACAAACCTGCCTCATGCTGAAATTTGTATTATAACAGATTCTGTAATGGTTAGTTGCCCTATAATATATTTTAAATTAAGGAGAAAAGTATACCATTAGTTAATTGTATGAAGAAGGTATTATAAATTAATATTTGAAGATTTTTTTAACTTAAAAAGAATCCTGAAGGTAAAATTGATGTATTTAATTCAGACACTTGTTTTATTAAGATGTCAAAAGTGCTTTTTATCAATATCAAATACTCTTGTAAAGACTGTGTATAGTGGCATATGATAAAATTGTAATTGCTCCATTTTCTTTTTGTCGAATTACTTTTTTAAGTTGATAAGTTATCAAAGCAGAGTACATTTTAACTTTTGTTGATTAGTACAAAAAGTATTGGATGATTAGATATGTAATCACCCAAAATAAAGCCTTTGTAGAGTTGGAAATAGAACCCTGGATTTTAAGAGTTTTTTTAATGCAATGCATCATGCTTTTCTAATGTCATTTTTATTTTATTTTTAATACTAAATCTAATATCATCTGTTCTATATTTAGGTTCGATTAGTGATAGTGGATGGTATTGCTTCTCCTTTTCGTCATGACCTAGATGACCTATCCCTTCGTACTCGATTACTAAATGGCCTAGCCCAGCAAATGATCAGTCTTGCAAATAATCACAGATTAGCTGTAAGTATTCTTAGTTAAGAGAATTTTATAGTAAAGATTTTATGTCTAGAAATAGAAAATAATTTTCCTTACTAAAAGCAAATAATATAGATGGTTTTGAATGTAGTTTTGGTTTGGTTTTTATAAAAAATTTCAGCTATAAGTGTTGTGTATCAGTTTTCCTGGAAGATAAACATAATCAAGATGCTATATTTTAAAAATGGACTTTAATGAAGAAATGCCACTTTTGGTAATTGCAGTGTTTTCTTTGTCTAAATATACTTCATGTTTTTCAGGTAAGCTCTTCCAACATTCTCATTTTTCTTTTACTCTGAGTCTTTGATTATTACATAGTATATAATCACAGACTCACATGGATAGGAAAATTACATAGTGTAAACAACCAAGATGTTTGGAGGTGGAGCTAACTCTTCTAGATTAGAAATATGGAGAAGTAAAGATAAGTTCAGAAGTGAAGAGATAAAAAGGAGTGAGGTAAAAACTCTTTTACTGTTTGTTTGGATCATTCCATCACTTCCCACTCTGTAACCCCATCCCACCACTGACACAACTATACACACTTGTCTAGGAGGGAGATGGGAGAAGGTCAAACTTCTTAACTTGATTTTCTTGTCATTACCCTGAGTAGAGAGTCCTTAGCACATACCTGTAACACATCATGAGTAAATAAAGAACTCTTTGATAAAATAATTTGAAAACATACATCTTTTTTGAGTTTTTAGATTTTTTTTTTGTCATATACTGAAGAGCATGGTGTCCTTTGAATTATTTCTTGCCATTAATTTGTAATTTGTGTTCTGTTAATATCAATGACGAGCCCCCAGTAGGGGGCACTCAAGACTAATAGGGTTGCATATTTCCTTAGGTTTTTGTCTTTAACAGAATTGGCTTTATCTTTTCTGATTAAAAAGAGTAATCCAAACAATAACATAGAATACTATGCAGTGTTTAAGATGAGTAATGCAAATATACAAGTACTACAATGGAACAAGATATGTCCGGATAAATGATTAAGTGAAAAAATTCAAGTTGCATATTTAGTATGATCTCACTTTTGAGAAAAATAAAAATTATATATGTGTATTTCAGTTTATACATATAAAGAATAAGATCTGAAAGGACCAAAACATTCACAGAGGCTATTTCTAGAGATAGGATTTTGTGGGGTTGAGGGCATAATTTTCCCTTTTATTTTATAAATTCTTCTTTGCTTGGTTTTTAATTTCCCAGTTAGAAAGTACAGAAGCATGTATGACCTTTGATAATACATTTTACCACGTTAAGTTATATGTACTTGCTCTAAAAAAAGATCTAAACAATCAAAATATAGAAAGTAAGCAATTATATTATCTATTACTCAGAGATGATTATTATTGAGTTTGGTGTACATATTTTTCCAAGCTTATTCTATGCATACATAAACATGTTTCTAAAGTGAGATCATATACAAAGCAATGTTTTATTGTTCACTTAATATATTATGAACATCTCTTGGTATACACTACTTGATAAGTCTACTTTGCCTTAATAGCTACATAATATTCCATTATATAATTATAGCATAGTTTTTTAACCACCTCCCTATTATCTTTAAAGTTGGCTCCAGTTTTTCACCATTTAAAACACTGCAATCAACAACTTTATATATGTTGCTTTGTCCATTTGTCCAGTTATTTCTGAAGGTATTAAGCCAAAGGGATAGCTATTTTTAAACATTTTATTATATATTATCAAATTACACTCAGAAAACATGTGCCAAAGTACATTTGCTACAACAGTGAATAGGAATTCTTATTTTCCCACATCTTTCCAACTTTGAGCCTTTCAAAACTTCACCAAGCTGGGACAGAGGAAAAATGGCGTAGATGATAGAGTCTCTATCCATCTCTTTGGCAACCAAAGCAAAGTTGTGATGGTTATAAGGAGCAGCAGCAAGGAAAAATCGCCTAGGATCTAGATGAACAAGCCATTCAACTAGGGAGAAGTCCAGGAAATCACCCTGCAATGGCAGAAGGTAGGACGGGGCGAGGATGTGGGGCTGCTTGGTCTCAAGCAGCTGAGTGAGATGGAGGCTGCCACAGCGGCAGCAGCAGACACCTCTTAAAGGGGCTGCGTCCTCAAGCAGATTTTCACAGTGACAGACCTGCTCACTCTGAATACCAGTACCGATTTGGCTGCGCACAGGGAGCACCAGGGACTTACATGGAGATATTGTTGGAGTGAGGGCCAAGGGGAGACTCACTCTGTACAGAAGGGCCAGCAGTGTCCATTGTTCTTTGTTGAGCCCTCCCCACTACCCAATGCGCAGACACAGCGCTGCCATAACCGTGACGTCATCAAACTGGATAACAGAGATCGCTCCACCCAGAGGATTCCCTGAAACCCTACCTCCCGCAACTGGTGGCTCCACCCAAACCACATCCTGGTATAGCTTCAGTGAGTAAGGTGCTCCTTGCTTAGCAGCGCCTAGACTCACACTGGAGGCAGCTGGCCTCGGTTTCTGGTGCCTTTTGAGGCAACTATAAGCACAGCATCTGTGGATTGCTTGCTGAATCTTAGCAGGTGACCTTGGCGAGGTAGAGACTTGGGCTAAGTTTAGCCTGCTGAGCGCCTCTCAGGCCTGTGCCACTGGACACCTGCTTCACAAATCCACACTAATAAGACTGGGAAACTTAGGAGCTTTCCTTAGTAGGTTGAAACAGACACAGAAAAGCAGCCAAAATGGGAAGACAAAGAAGCAGAAACCATATGAGAGAACAGAACAGAGATCATTTCAACCAAGAGTTTAAAAAAAAAACATAAAAATGAAGTGGAAATTATAAAAGGGAACCAGTAAGAAGTGAAGAACACATTATCTGAGATGAGATGTATGTTAAATGGAATAAACAAAGGAATAAACAAAGTGAATAAAGAATAGGATCAAATGCCCTACCTAGAGGACAGGACAGCCAATCAGGATACTCAATCAGAATGGCAAGAAAAAAGATGCCAAGACTATAAAAATAATTTAAGGAGGATGTGGGACAATATTAAGGATCCAAATATCCATCTGATTGGTGTAACAAGAAAATCAAGATGTCGAACAGCTATTTGAAGAAATAATGATGGAAAACTTCCCTAACCTGGTGAAGGAAATGGACATAAAAATCCAGGAAGCTCAGAGAATTCCAAAACTCAGGGATCCAAAGAGACCCACACCAAGACACATCATAATTAAAATGCCAAAGGTTAAATACAAAGAAACAATATTAACGGCAGCCAGAGAAAAACAGGTAATTACTTATAAGGGAACACCCATAAGACTGGCAGCCGATTTCTCAGAAGAAACTATGCAAGACAGAAGGGCTTGGCAAAAAATATTCGACAGGAAGAAGACCCAGGATCTACAACCAAGAATACTTTATCCAGCAAAGCTGTCATTTAGAGTCGAAGGACAGATAAAGAGCTTCCCAGACAAAAATAAGCTAAAAGAATTTATCACCACCAAGCTAGAATTACAGGAAATGTTGGAGGGACGTCTTTAAGAAGAAAAACATGTATTAAAGACAGGAATAAAGAATGATAACAACTACATTCCTATCAATAAGTACTTTAAATGGAAAAGAATTAAGTGCTGCAACCAAAAGATAGAGTGGCTGAAAGGATAAGAAAACAAGACCCCTACATATAAAAAGGAAAGGGATGGAAAAAGATATTGCTTTGATAGACCTAGAAGATATTTAAAAGTCAGACAGAAAGATAAACATTATATGATTTCACTTATGTGCGGAATCTAAGGAATAAAAAGAAACTAATCAAAAACAGACTCACAAATATAGTGGACAATTTGGTGTCGGACAGAGGGAAAGGGGGTTTTGAGGGCTGGGAGAATGGGATGAAGGGTTAAAGAAGTACAAATTAGTAGCTGATGGATGGTCACGGGGATGGGAAGCATGGCATAGGGAATGTAGTTAGCATTAATATGTTGGCTAGGTGGAGGGTTGGGAGGGAGGGAGCAATTGCGATTATTTTATGAACTATATAGATGTCTAACCAATGTACTGTATACTTGAAACTAAATACAAAATTAAATTAAAAAAACAAACAAAAAAACCTTTGTCAAGCCGATGTGGAGAGACTCCTTTTAGAGATGCAACCCAGAAAAAGACATCCCAAGGGGAGACCCCTACTTTGTTTTTTCACTTTTAATTCACCTTTGTTACCTTTACAATGCCTTCTGTAATACTGAGCATAATGATGCTCAAAAATACAAATTGAATGAATCATTTTTTTATCCTTGGAAATTTAAAAAGAAAGTGACTTTGTAGCAGAGACAGATTATTAGCAGAAATGCTTTATTAAACAATTTTATTGAAATATAATTAAAATACCATAAAATTCACCCTTTTAAAGTGTACAATTCAGAGTTTTTAGTATATTTAGTATAGTTAAAGTTGTGCAGGCATCACTACTATTTAATTTTAGAACATATCCATCACTCTCAAAAGAAATCCCTTACCCATTAGCCATCATTCCCTATTGCACTCTCCTTTAACCCCTAACAACCACTAGTCTGCTTTTTGTTTCTATGGATTTGTTTTTCTGGATATTTTATATGAATAGAATCGTATAATACGTGGTCTTTTATAGCTGACTTCTTTCACTTAGTGTAATGTTTTCAAGATTCATCCATGTGGCATGTATCAGTAAGTATCCTTTTTATGACTAATTTTGCATTTTCTTGATATACCACATTTTGTTTATCTGTTCGTCAATTGAAGGACATTTGGACAGCAGAAGTACTTTTAAAGCAATGAAGTTAATAACTTTCAACTGTTACTTCACTATTTTAAAGACTCATTTTTTATGAGTTTGGAGTAATCACACAATTTTCATTTGTATTCTGAGAAACTCAACATTTTTGCAGAAGTGGTATAATTATTTTATAGCAAAATTCTAATTTTGGGATGTAGAACAGCTGGGAAGTATATTTATTTACATTTTCCTAAAGATATGAAATGGTTTAACTGCTCCCTAAACAGGAGCTATCTGATAGAACTTTCTGCAAAGATGAAAAAGTTCAGTTTAATACAGTAGTCATATATCTTTTGGGCATTTGAAATATGACTAGTCCTACTGAGGACCTGAATTTCTAGGTGGGTTTTTTTTTTTTTTTTACGCCTACAGCACCCGGTATTCCTAGGTCATCTCCCATCCTACTAACCAGGCCCGACCCTGCTTAGCTTCCGAGATCAGACGAGATCAGTCACGTTCAGGGTGGCATGGCCATAGACTGAAGTTCTAGTTTTATAATTTAATTTTAAAAGCTCTATATGGCTAATGGCTGAAGAATTGGATACTGCACCTTTAACCAAAACATGTTGGTATAAGTAAATATCTCTGTTGCTAGAGCTTAAACACTTAGTAGTATGTACAGTAAAGGGTATTATTCAGCATGTTGGAGATGCTGATTAGTCATATATTTCAGTTAATTACCAATTTAAATTCCTGCTTAGCTTGTTCTAAAATTCCTGGGGAAGCCACAATGGCACTTAAGGAGGGGTGCACTAGAACAAAGTGATGTAATACAGTTGGTGCCTAATTGAGATCTAGATGGATCACAGATTTCTCCTTTGTAGATAAACGAAAATTTTAGAGTGTCACCAGTGCATTGGAAATAGCCAGCTTTTTCTTTCTCAGCTTTTTTTATGGAACTGATGACTTTTTCAGAGTAGGTACCTTTTCTCATTGCTTTTAATAGTTATCAGTTTCAGCTTGCAGTAATATCTGTCTTATCTTTGGAAGGATGATCTGTATTGGAAGACTATTTAAAATAACTTTCTAGAGAATTTTGGATAAGAAGGTGGCAGATAATCTGACTTTTACTGTATTTAGTCAGCCTTAAACACCCGTTTTTCTCTACTTTAAAATTACTTTTTAAAACATAGAATTTTTCCTACAGATCACTATTTAATCCAAAAGAATGAGCAATATTTTTAGACTGAGGGCCATCTGTGAGTAAAGCAAGACCTATATGTATTACCAGTAGACTAGCACAATCATAATTTGGGGGTTATTTGACCTGTTGGGTTTTATTTTCCCCAGTTCTTCTACTTATACTGTACATTTTTTATGATTTTAGGTCTCTTCTCATAATTCTTTGCCTCAATTTCTTTTTTATTTCTGTAAAGTCATAAATCATAGTACTGTATTGATTTCTTCCCTAAAAATGTAAGCACTGAGTTATTTATTAAGGTTTTCATATTCCTTTGAATAAATATGTTCTAGAGAGGCCACAGTGGTAAAGAACACAGACTCAATCTTTCTAAAGTTCTGATTTCTCCTGTGTTAATCTGGAATAATAATAATAATGCCTCATTCATGGAGTACTTATGGAGAGGAGATAAGATAATGAAGGTAATACACTTAGCATAATTTCTTGCATGTATTAAGTACTCAATAAATGTTTTTACCACTACTGATGTTGCTGCTATTGATCTGGTTGTTTCTATTGGCTATATGTATTATCTATTATATTTTTATTGTTTCATTTTCACAATAAGAACTTCTTCGTTCTTGTCTGTTAAAAAATGTTTTATATTCAATAGAATCATGTTTTCAGATAACTACTCATTTTTATGAGTAAATTTAAAAACTTATCAGAAAAGTTTTTATTACCTAAATATGTCTTTCTTTAAGTTAGATTATATTCAGAATACTAAAATCGCAGGACTACTTAATTTTTAGGGGCAACTCACCTAATTTTCTCACATTTTGTTTTTTGTAGGTAATTTTAACCAATCAGATGACAACAAAGATTGATAGAAATCAGGCCTTGCTGGTACCCGCATTGGGTGGGTAATTAATCAGATAAACATTTTTGGTTAAACATATTTTTTCCTACCTCTTTCATTTGGTACTTCTTGAGTACTGTAAACTTCATGAAAGCAGAGACTATATCTGTCTTATTCACTGATAAATAGAAGATAATGATCTCCAGTATTTCCATAGATATGTAAAAATCTATAAATCTCAAAATGTTATCTATGTACCAGGTTTTTTGAAACCAGTATACTCTCGTTATTTTAAATTAAGTAAAATAAAACTGTATTTGGTCAGAGGCATTCTGAGAGATTGATAACCTAGTCAGTAAGGCAATACAGTTATTATGTTCTTTTTCCCTCAGGGGAAAGTTGGGGACATGCTGCTACAATACGATTAATCTTTCACTGGGACCAAAAGCAAAGGTCAGTATAGAAACAAGTTAATAATTCTGAATATTGGGTTAATTACACTAAAAACTTACCAATTTCTTAAAGCTAGTCCAGTGAATGAGTTCCGCAATGCCCCATGAACTAAAGCTTTTGTAACCTTGTCCTTAATCACCTAGAGCAGACATAGAAAAATGTTTTAATCTGCACATTTAGCTACATAGGAAATTCTTTGGAATATTTAAATAATGGGGTGCACCTGAAATGAGTAGGTGGCCAAGGAATGCTACCTTCTAAAGCTCTTTGAAATTAAGTACCATTTATTAGCCATGCAGAAGGAGGTGGGTACTCTGTGTTCCTGGAAAGGATTGAAAGAAGAATAAAATCAGGACAAAAGGAATACTTTTGAGGTTAGCTTTAGGACTAACTTATGTGGAAAATAGGATGGTTTTTTTTAGCTGCTTCATATATTTCTTACATGAAATTGTCTCTACTTTTGTTGTCTTTTGTATTTTTCTATCTTGCTTTTGTTATTCAGTTACTTACCTGACTTTCACTGGTATTGTTCTTTAAAATAAAACTATGACGGCATGAAACCTTTGTGTTTGTTTTTAAAGCTGCTTGAGCAAGTGAACAAACCAGCTTTTATTTTCTTTAAAATAGGCAATTGAAAGCTGTGAAATCTTTTATTCTACACTTCTAGAAATGGCAGATTTATGCCAACCTCTCTGCTTTGAGATTAATTGGTATAATCTAGAGAACTTGGTTTGGAAATGCTCTATTGAAAGGAAGAAATTGAGATAGTATGTGGGTAAAGATAGAAAAAAGCGTTGCTTAAATACATATTGGGTCTGGTCAGTGATACTGTCTATTTGTTTTTTATCTGCATTTCTTTGTTCTTCTACATGAAAAAAATTATGCCTCACCAGGTTAGGTTTTACTTACTCTCAGCTCATACTAGAACTGATCACATTTACATACATCTTTTGCAACTAATTCATGCAGCTTGTGTCTCTTAAAGATGGCATTTCCAGAGCTCAGGTAACTTTTTTTATTTTTATAATACATAGTGCTTTACAGTGGATTCCCATTCCTCCAATTCTGGAAGTCATTGTACCCTAGATTCACAAAAAGAATTCTTTTCTCAGCAACAAACCCTATTGTAGATTTGGCAGCAATTCTCCAGTTGTCTTTTGAACATACTGCTTATACTTTCCCACATTTAGGTTTTCTGCAAAGAACATCCCACTAATGTTCTTAAGAATTACCCTTGAGCCTAGTAGTATACAATAGTAGTCTTCCACTATTCTATTAAATACTCACTAGTAGAATACATTTAAGAAATGAGAAAAATATTAGGAGCAGAGCAAGATGTTTCATCTTTTTATGCACTCATCAGGAGAAGTTTGCCTTCATCTAATTCTGTAAGTTTCGTTTGGTTAGGTACCCATGAGATCAGAAAATCATGCTTACTTTTTAAGAGTTAAACCATTGTATGACTTCAGCTTCTTACTGAAGCTTTCCAGGAAATTAGAGAATGATATAGAACACTGACATTGAATGATAGATTTAGGGGAAATCTACTGTTCTATATAATTTTCATTTTATTGAGTGCTTGTTTGTGCTAGGTACTTAACTGGGCACTTTACATTTCATATAGTCCCTTCAATAACTCCTTGAAGAATCTATATGTGTTATCATTAACAGTGAGAATACCAAGGCCCAGAAGATTAACTAAGTAGTAAATAATAGCTACCATTTATTGAATATTAACTGTCTTTTATTAGGCTAAGCACTGTGTGTATATAAAATTTCATTTTATTTTCTGAATAACTGTGAAATAGGTAGTATCCACATTTTATACCTGACTCTATAATAGAGTCTATTCTTTTTCTCCTATAATTGCTATTTCTAGAATGGAATTATAGTATTATGTTGATTATCAGAAAATCTGAAGGTATAGCTCTTAGCCTCTTTTTTCGGTAAAATCCTTTGTCTCCAGACTTCTTTTCCCCTCCAGGCTGTGGATATATTGAAAAGTAATGTGCATATCTTATTATAATCAGAATTGGTGGACCTCATTTAATATAATTAAAATAGTTTGGTTCTTCCTTGAAACGAACTATCTTTAAGGCATTAAAGTTGCACGAAATCTTATATGTGTTTTAAAACTTAGTTTATCATGGAAGGATAGAAATAGAAATTCACATTGGGGGAAAATAGGAATAAAAACGAATACTTTCCATTCGAGCATAAAACTGAAAACCTTGACTAGCCAAATTTCTATTGAGAATTGAACTTAAGAATCCCATCTCATGACCCAGTCCCCATCCTTTACTGGAAACACCTAATTTTTACCCTTTGACTAATAATGGAATAACATTCCAACAGTTATTAAAAGAAATACTTTTGTCTCCTGTATATTGTGTGGGTTTTCCTTCAGTTTGCATATTCATGATAATATGAGGCTGAGATTGTTCAGAATTATACCATTCTTTGCCAAGAAGATCTGGTGGTAAGTGGAGTAATATATCAACACCCCCACACAGTATTTCATATGTGTACTCAGCTTTAGAGCACAAATTGTGCTTCTGTCTTGTTTCTTCCTGACCCAAACTATGTAGTTCAGCCATATGTTAAGCTTCATCTCAGCTGGGGCCGTGAGCCAAGTGATTCTTTGGTTTAATTTCTTGTTTAAAAAGAACTCTTGAGATGCAGACATGAAATATAAAGTTTTATTTTTACTTAGAAATCTGAGGAAGATTTTCAACCTGAATACCGAATGCCCATTTGACTTTAGGATTCTTAATAAACATGTAAATGCTTCTTAAAAGCTTATTTACTTTTAATTTTCTCAGAAAAGTCAGATAAACTGGATACCTTTTTGGATATAGTAATATGAGGTGATTTAGATACTAATTTTTCAGAAGGTTAGTTGATTCTGTTTTATTGGATGAAAAAGAGTGATTTTTTAATAAGGTGGGTTAAAATACACCATGCCTCTATTTTTCTGTCATATTTTATGTTAAAGATGGGATACCAACCCTAAAAGCATTGTAAAAATTTATAATCTCACCCTCTAATCCAACTATTCTTATATTATGTATTTCTTAGCAATTATTTATGCATACAATTGCAATTATAGAGTACATGACATTTTGGATTCTGCTGTTTTCATCCTGAAAGTACAAACCTAAAACATTAAGCTAATAGACCATGGTCTCTGAATGCTTCCTTTTGAATTGTGCCTGAGCAGAGAGGAAATTTCAAAATTAAGAGAGTTACAGATCATAAACCAAGATGTCCTTTTTGAATTGTCTTTGAAAAGAAGTCAACATTGTATATAAATAAATGACCCTTTTAACTCTGAGAGTCTATGATTTTTCTCTAAGTTAATGCAGTTATATCAGTTTTTTAAATTGTGGTAAAGTATACATAACATAAATTTACCATTTTAACAATTTAAGTGTACAGTTCAGTGGCATGAAGTACGTTTACATTATTGTGTAATCACCACCATCTATTCATCTCCAGAACTTTTTCATCTTCCACTCTTGAAACTTTATACCCATTAAACACTAATTCTCCATTCTTCCCTCCCACCAGCCTCTGGCAACCACCATTCTACTTCTGTCTCTGTGAATTTGACTACTCTAGGAACCTCATATAAGTAGAATCATAAAACATTTGTCCTATTGTGAGTGGCTTTATTTCACTTAGCATAATGTCTTTAAGGTTTATTGTATCAAGTGTCAGAATTTCTTTTTAAGACTGGATAATATTCCTTTATATATATATACCACATTTTGTTTATCCATTTATCTGTTAGACACTTGGGTTGCTTGGGTTGCAACCTTTTGGCTATTGTGAAGAAGTTATATCAGTTTTAGAGTAATTTTAAAAGGCACTTTAAAATTTTTTGCATATTTTTGTTGCTGTTATAATATTTGACCATAGTTAATACGAGCTTAGAATTTTATTTCTCAACTTCTTTCAGCTTTCAGTTTTATATTATTTACTTTTAGAGTACATAATAAAATACTGCCTAAAGAGACTTTGTTCTATCATGACAGTGATTTTTCTGGACGTAATCATTTTGAAAGAATGTGTCTTCCTAGCTTATTTGTATTAGTATAATATGAGTTATGTTCTTCATGTATATCCCAAGAAAATGTCTTAATACTTCTAACACCCAAAAAACACAATTACTGCAGAAAATTTGAAAAATATAGATAAACCAAAAAACTACCTTTACTTAACATTTTTACTATCTTAACAATTTTACTACCTTAGCCTTCTAGTAATTTTTCTGTATATGTATGTATACATACTCAGAAATGCAAGATCATGCAGTATAACTTTTACTTAATATTTTCCTATCTCATTAAATATTGTCTTCCACTTTATTTTCCTGGTATAAACAGTCTCTCAACATATAAAAGATAACTTATTCGAATCAGTCATTGAAGTTTTAGGTTGCTTTAAAACTTCACTTATATAAACAAATCTATTATTATATGTAATAATTACATGTATACATATAGCTATTCTGTGACAAAAGAATATCTGATTTTTGCTTTCTGTGTTCTTAGAGAACAAAATAATAGAATTATGGTTAAACTAAATTTCAATGATCAAATTAGTCATCTGAACTAATTAAGATTATGTGTTTGTATATTTATATTTGTGTATATTCTTTTTTTCAAAGCAGGTTGGCAACATTGTACAAATCACCAAGCCAGAAGGAATCTACAGTACTGTTTCAAATCACAGTTAGTATTATTTGATTAGAATGGGATTTTGGTGTCGGTGGGCAGTAATTTTCTAAAGAGAGCATTTACAAATTGCTTTTAACTTGTGTGTGCAGCAAGCCTATTTGAGGATAGCTTTTGATACTTCGAATTATCCCCCAAATATTAGTATATATATACAATTTTCTAGTCACAATTGTACTGACATTTATTCTTACAGACGAAGGAAACATTTCTAGGGTAGTGTGTTCCACATGTAATGTTAGGATAGTAAAGATTTTGAAAGTGAAAGTTGTTAAAGATTTTCAGAAAAGAAAAAATACTAACCTTACTCATTTTGGTCTGTAGATATTATAGATCTGTCTATATATTAGCCACTAAATATATCCCACTTTAAAATGTTAATTTTCCTGTAATTGTACATCATAGAACTCACATTTTTTTTACTGAAATATGCATATTTATCAATAGTGTTGAGCCAAATATTTTCTTGGCATCTCATACTTGTAGGACAAAAACAGAAATAGAGATTCTGAAACTGAATTATCCATTTAGTCTTTGCAATGCTTAGGTGCATTTAAAGTATTCTAATTGGAAAGCTTTATTATATAGAGTATTTGTGGAAGTAAGTTTGTAAAACACCTGAGTAATTAGTTCATGTTACTTCCTTTCACCTCTTCCAATAGAGTCACCACAAAGTTTGTTAGGATTGTCTTTTAGAGAACATTTTTATAATGCAATGTTGCTTCTGTGTGTATGTATATGTATAAATAAATATATATAAAATACTCTAGATATAAAATACTTTAGTACAGCCCTGGCTTTGCACATCTATCCATGAGGTTTATCTTTTCATCCACAGTGGTTGATAACTTCTATGCCAAGAATAAAATAGCTCTCTTATCAATTACCTCAAAATATTTGCAAGACCATTCATTATTTTAGATGTTCTTAAAGCATACTTGTATATTTTTTCATCTTGCAGCGTCAGGGATTTAGAGATGCTGTTGTTGCTACTCCATGTTCACTGAAAACAGAAGGTTCATTGAACTCCCGGAAACGGTCACGAGAATCAGAGGAAGAACAGGAATCCAAAGACTAGTCTCAAAGTATACATTATGTATTTATGCTGTGAGATGCAATGTATACGAGTAGTAGACTCATTACTTTAAAATAAAAACACACATTATGAATCAGGAATATATAAAGTGAAACATATACATACTTAATACCATTCTCTGAAAGAGTTTTTTTAACGCAGTGTTCTACAATTTTAATTTGCCCTGTTTTTATTTTTAGTAACATTTAGTAGAGATGATATAAGTATTGTATTTGTAAATGTGGAAAGCTGATCTCATGTGGTCAATCTGAATTTACCAGTCAGACTTTTTTCTTTCTTTCTTTGTTCATTGCTTATAAAATCTTGAGAAGTATTTTTCCCCCCACATTCCTTTTGTGTTATCCTCCTTAAGTGTAGCTTTGATAATTCTTAAAATGACTCATTTTATTAATATAAAGCAAAGCCAGCACCCTGAGTCAGCATAGTTTCATGGGTAGGTTATGAATTTTAGATGACTAATCTGATTTTAATAACCTCAATCCTATACATTTCTTTATTTTTTAATGTTAGAGGAAGGAATTTGGAACTGTTATCCCATTTAGAAATTGTGTGAAACATATCTTCCAGAATAGTCAAGTCGATAAGCTCACAGTTATTTATTTCTACATTTTTGAAACATGGTATGATCCATTCTAGAATTCTAGATGTATTGACATTTTCCTTTGAATATGAACAAATTAACACTATTTGAACAAATTAAAATTTGGATTGAGTGATTTCAAAATCATCTAATAATGTTTTGGTACCTGATTCTTCTTAGTACTTCTCAATTCATTCACAAAATTTACTTTGGTTCCCAGTGGAAGAAAATTATTTAAATGATTGATTATTATATAGTATGACAACCATATTTTAAAGATTTTATTTGGATTTCCTGTTCCAGACTGAACACTAAATTTATAAAACTTAAAAAAATAATAAGTTTGTAATTGCTTATACATAGAATAACCATAGTTTGCTAGGACTTTTTGAGAGTGAAAGTGGGTACTACTAACAGTTACACCAGAACAGTGGGCATAAACCAGGATTCTCCCAAGCAAATTAGGCATACGGTCATCCTAATTATATTATGCTAATTTTAAATGACTACTATAGAACAACTGATTGTAACCATCTTATTTTTGAGGGCTTTAAGGCATATGTTTTTAGAATAATGCAGTTATAAAAAATTACACATCATTTTATAGTCTATCTGCTCAAATCATAAAATTGACAGTGAGGGGTTTGTAAATGATAAATATCAGTGTGATCAGGTATCAGATACAGTAGGATCTCATAAAGCATTATAACACTACTTCAAAGAACTATAGGACTCTGAATATAGACAAAGCCTATTGTATTTCTGTTTTCAAGTCTTCTAAAATAAAATTTGCATATGATAGCTTTTCAAAGTCATTGCTATTGCTGAAGTGATATTTATTTTTCTAGTAACAAATATACACTTAAACCTTAGTCTGCTTAAGCTTCAATAATAAGATAACACAGAATTAAAACAATATGATTTCTTCACAGTATTAGAGGCTAGAAGTCCTCTAATGTGTGCCAGCATGGTCTGGTTCTGGTGAGTATTCTCTTCCTTGCTTGTAGACAGCTGCCTTTTCATTGTGTGCTCACAAAGCCTTTCCTTGGTGAATGTGCAGAGAGAGAGACTTTTTTTTTAATAATCTTATAAGGCCACCAGTTCTATCAGTTTAGGACTCTACCCATATGACCTTATTTAACATTAATTATCTCACAAAATCTCTGTTCTATCCAAATAGTCACATTGGAGATTAGGGCTTCAATATATGTTTTGGGAGTACACAGTTCAGTCCACAGCATCCATGTCCTCACATGCAAAATACTCCTTCCATCCCAAGACCTCAAAAGTCTTAACTCATTCCAGCATCAACCCTAAAGTCCAAAGTCTCATTTAAATATCCCCTAAATCAGACATGGATGAGATTCAAGATACAATTCTCCCCGAGGTGAAATTCTTCGACAGCTGTGAACCTGTGAAACGAGACAAGTGTTTCCAAAATACAGTGATGGAAGAAGCACAGACAGTCCCATTCTATAAGGGAGAAATCAGAAGGAAGAAAAGGGTGATGGGTCCCAAACAAGTCCAAAATCTAACAAGGCAAGGTTTATTGGATCGTAAGCTTTTGCAGCATTCCTCTGGTTCAATACTGTGCCTTCCAGGCCCACTCTGGTGGCAGCATCACCCTCATAGTTCTAGGTGGGGGTCCTGTCCCCAAAGCTCTACAGAGGCAGTCTGGCCTGTTGAAACTGAGGAAGTAGCTCTGATGACCTTTGAATAGCCCTTGGGTCATTTTCCCTTCTTCTTGAAGAATAGTGCTTATTTGAAGCCAAGTAGCTCGATTCAGTCCTGTCAAATCCAGGAAGTCCAACAGCCTTCCTTCAGTATGTGCCATCTCTGTCCCCTTCAGCTCCAACTTTCATTGTTTCTGCTCACATAATCCCGTAAGGTTGCTATGGGGTGATGGTCCAGTCATACCCATGATGTTCTCTTCAGAACATGCTGTCTAATTTTTTGCAATATGGAGAAGCTGAAAATTTTCCAGATCTTTAGGTTCTGGTTCCCTTTTTCAATTCCTTTCTTAATTCATATCTCTCCTTTTGCATTTTACTGTAAGTAAAATGCCACTCCTTCAGTACTTTGTTTAGAAACCTCCTCAGCTAAATACCCAGTTTCATCACTTGCAAGTTCTATCTTCCACAAAACACTAGAAAACAGTTCAGCCAAGTACTTTTTTGTAACAAAGATCACCTTTCTGCTAGTTTCCAGTAACGTGTTCCTCATTTCCATCTGAGACCTTACCAAAATTGCTGTTAATATCTGTATTTCTAGCATGCATCTCTAAACTCTTCAAACCTCCACCTGTTACATAGTTGTAATGCTTCTCCCACATTTGAGGTATTTGTCATAGCAGTACCCCACTTCTCAATACTAAAATAAATCTGTTTTAGCTTGGGCTGCCGTAACAAAATACTGTAGTTTGGGTAGCTTAAAATAAGTTTATTTTCTCACGGTTGTGGAAGCTAGAAGTCCAACATCAAGGTGCTAGTATGGTCAGTTTCTGGGGAGGTATCTAACTGGCTTATAGATGGCTACCTTTTTGCTTTGTCCTCATATCAGGGGTCTTCAACCCCCAGGCCTTGGACTGGTACCAGTTGGTGGCCTGTTAGGAGCCCAGCCACACAGCAGGAGGTGAGTGGCAGGCAAGCAAGCAAAGCTTCATCTATGTCTGCAGCCTCTCCCCAGCACTAGCATCACTGCTTCAGCTCCACCTCAGATTATCAGGCATTAGATTCTCATAGGAGCATCGGTCCCTGGTGCCAATAAGATTGGGGACTGCTGCCTCAGATGACAGAGAAAGAGATTGAGAGTGAGCAAGCTCTCACGTGTCTCTTATAAGGGCATTGATCCTATCATGTGGGTACTACTCTTGTGACCTCATTTAACCTTAAGTACCTCCAAAAAGCCCTATCTCCAAATAGTCACATTGGAAGTTAGGGCTTCAACATATGAATTTTGGGGAGACAATTCAGTGTGTAGCACTATAGGAAGCTTAAAATATGTACACGAATTATTTTAAAACTATATCGTAACCTTTTTTAAAAAACCCTATATTCTCATGTGTTCCACATGATTAAATTTAATGGCTGTGCATAATTTTTAAATTTCTTTTTGGAGTTTTAGTTATATTTTTAGTGTTATAAACAATACTCCTAATAAGCATATAAGTTCCTCTTTAAAGAAATTGAAATTATAATTTATACTAATTTCCTAATGCTGCTATAATACTGTAACAAATTTAGTGGCTTAAAAGAACTCAAATTTATTTTTATAGTTATGGAATCTGAAATCAGTTCCACAAGTCTAAAAACAATGTGTCAGTAGGCTTGCATTCCTTCTGAAGGGTCTAGGGTAGCTGTCCCCAACCTTTTGGCACCAGGGACCGATGCTCCTATGAGAATCTAACGCCTGATGATCTGAGGTGGAGCTGAGGTGGTGATGCTAGCTCTGGGGAGCAGCTGTAGATACAGATGAAGTTTCGTTTGTGAGCCCGCTGCTCACCTCTTGCTGTGCAGCCTGGTTTCTAACAGGCCACAGACCGGTACCTGTCCATGGCCAAGGGACTGGGGACCCCTGGTCTAGGGGAAATCCCATCTCCTTACCTTTTCTAGCTTCTAGAGGCTGCCTGCATTCCTTGGCTGATAGGCCATCTTCAAAGCAGTGTAGTATCTTCATCACTCTGTTTCCATTGCCTTTTTCACACTCTGTCTCCTGCCTCCCTCTTATAATGAAGTTTGTGATAACATTTTGGGCCCTGTCAGATGATCTTGGATACTCTCCCCATCTCAAGCTCCTTAATTTAATTATGCCTGCAAAGTCCTCTTTGGTATGTAAATTAGCATTCACAGATTCCAAGATTAGGTTGTAAACATCTTTAGGGAGCCATTATTCAGCCCCTCAAATCATGTGGTAATGATTCAAGCAGTAATGGTCCCTGGGAGATTCAAACACACGTTAACATTTGAAAAGCACTGGGACAGACTTGATAACATTTTTTAACTGTATTCATAGATGGTCATTCCCATTTATGAAATGGAAAAGAAAGAATAGTTCCCTAGCTTTTCGAAGCTTTATTTTTCAAGGAGTATTGTTCTTTTTTAAATTATAAAATAAATGTAAGTATAAACTTTTTTTTCCCGTCTTTTCTGCTGCTTGGTTTTAACTCATGATAGAATATCTATCATCTCATGATTTGCATGAGCTTGCCACCAAAAGCTATCAGTAAATTAGTTAAAGTCTCACCTCTTAGGCAAACAGTGATTGCATTCATCTTTCATCTTGTGGTTAAACAGTGTAGTAAATCCAAAAAGTGTATTTTGGCTTTTACTCTTTTTCATGCCATTGCTATGCCATTGCTATTCGTTTATACACATAAATATATTTGCACACAAAACACTTATTTCCACAGTGTTTTTTTAAATGTCAATTCTATGTTTTACAGTTAGTACAACACAGGCCACTGATACAGGTTACTTTAAAAATTACTCATCCGGAGAAGGATAGAGTAAACCAATACTAGCAATTCAAAATTTGCTCTGCTTTGAGAAACCTTTTCCACACTGATGCTTTTAGAATATAAGAATATATTCCAAATAGGTTATTGAAGGTATAAAATATAATAAGATATGGAATTAAAAGGTCAGACAACCTAATGTAGAATTTTCGTTTTGTTGTTGTTTATTTTTAGGACAGAGACTTAACATTTCAAATGCAACAATTATAGATTTTTATTTTTAGAGGAAACCTTAGAGATCATCCCACCAATATTTTTGACTAAGGCATAAATCTAATTTTTCAAACATGCAGACAAATTTTTAAAAAATAATTCTTTCTTAGTTTTACAGACCTTTTATCCTTTTTGAAGTTGTATTTTTCCCAGAGTATTAGGACTTTTAGCTTGAATTTTGGGGATATGTAACTTAAAACATACTTATATTTATATAGTACGTTATGATTTTGGAACACATTTATGTTATTTAATTTGATCCTTCTAGCAACTCTTATCAGGTAGACACAATAGATTGGCCTGTCTGCTTTTGTTTGTTCTGTGTATCCATCCATAAATCTAATGCCTGACATAGACACACTTAACAACAATTTGTTGAATTAATGAATATTTCAAATAAGATTTAGAATAAATTGTGTTTTTCCAGTAGTCAGATAAGAATACTATTCGGTCATGCATAGTTTTTCTGACCATTTTTTATTATAAAATAAATATACAACAATTTAATAGTGGTCATTTATTTTTTACCTTTTAAAATTATGATAAAATACACATAACAAAATTTGCCATTTTAATCACTTTTAAATGTAAATTCAGTGGCATTAATTATATACATAATGTTTTACAATCATCACCACTATTTGTAAAACTTGTCATTACCCCAAACAGAAACCCATAAAGAATAACTCCCTACTCTCTCCTCCCTCTGGCTCCTGGTCATGTCTAATCTACTCTGTATGAATTTGCCTATTGTATATATTTCATACAAGTGGAGTCATGCAATATTTTTTCTGTTGTGTCTGACTTATTTCATTTAAAATGATGTTTTCAAGGTTCATCCATGTTGTAGCATGTATAAGAACTTCAGTCCTGTCTACAGCTATGCCACCGTGAACAAGCCCAATTCTGTCTGATCTCGGAAGCTAAGCAGGGTCAGGCCTGGTTAGTCTTGGATGGGAGACCTCCTAGAAAGACAAAGTGCTGTAGGTGTAAAAAGAAAAAAAAACTTCAGTCCTTTTTATGGCTGAATAATATTCCATTATATATTTTTGCCACATTTTTATCTATTTATCTGTTGAGGGACACGGG